GCGCGCCATTTAATAGTGGACTCTCATTGGTTAAACAAAGTATGGGTATCCAATCTTTTAGCGGATTATATAGAAAATTAAAAGTGTCTACATTGAATTTTCAGATTAAGCAATCCAATTCTAAAATTTTCTGCTCAGAGGTGATGCTAACTTTCAACTCCTTTTCAGGCTTAAAGGGACTGAAAAAAAAGATCTAATCTTTCCTCATTTTAAATATTCCATACTCTTTGGCGTTGATCACAGAATAGAGATTAGAATAGAAGGGAAAAAAGACTATCCTTCACTCACTCTTAGCCTGAAAAGAGTTCAAAGCGTGCAATTCATGTAAATGTTCACAAATAATACGCAGTACATCACAATAATACAGTTTGATCCCTGGACATATATGCTACAATTTCTTCTTTTTATAAACTTTATGAACTCTGGAATGTAAAGTGAAGCTCACGTTGAAATAAAATCGGAAATGCAGGAGTAGGACAAGTTGTCAAGGAATTTAATTAGAAAAAATTAAATAATTTTCATGAACATTTTTTTCTTTAATAAGATCTTCCAGCTTCCAGGGCCTAAAAGGTTGTTTAGCACAAATGTGTGAAGTACACCTGCAGTATGGAAACAATACAGCAAAATGGCGGTTTCACACTTTTTGCGACTAAATTCCACTCTAAAGTCTAAACTTATCTATACTCCACTTCTGACCTACGCCAAATCCGCTATACTACACATCCGACCTACTAGCACGTGGTTTTACAGCTGCTATATGGACTTGTGGCCGCAGCGCCTGGCCCCTTAGCCTGCCCTAGCCGCGACGCTCGGCCCCCTAGCTTGTCCTTGCCGCAGCGCTCGGCCCAAAAATTGTCTTAACCTAACCTAACCCTTAAATAATACAAAAATAAACAGCAGGAGTAGGTCCGATATTGCAGTAGGTCGGAAAGTTAGTAGGTCAGAAGTTCAGTAGGAAGGATGTTGCGTATGGACGATATAACATTACCGTTAATATTTATTATTTAGGTAGCTTACTGGGTGGGGCACTAGGCGGGGCCTTACGTGGAGGAGGGGGACAAAATCAAAACCAGGCTAGATTCAGAGGCAGGGGTAGATTTAGAGGCAGGCGTAGAGGATAGAGGATACTGCAGGATACAGAACACTGGATACTAGATCCAGGATACAGAAAACAGGATACTGGATACAGGATACTGGATACTGGATATTGGATACTGGATACTGGATACAGAACACTGGATACTGGATACAGGATACAGAACAATGGATACAGGATACAGGATACAAAACACTGGATACAGGATACAGGATACAGAACACTGGATACAGGATACAGGATACAGAACACTGGATACTGGATACAGGATATAGAACACTGGATACTGGATACAGGATACAGAACACTGGATACTGGATACAGGATACAGAACACTGGATACAGGATACAGAACACTGGATACTGGATACAGGATATAGAACACTGGATACTGGATACAGGATACAGAACACTGGATACTGGATAAAGGATACAGGATACAGGATACAGGATACAGGATACAGGATACAGGGTACAGGATACAGAATACTGGATACTGAATACTGGATACAGGATACAGGATACTGGATACAGGATACAGGATACAGGATACTGGATACTGGATACTGGATACTGGATACTGGATACTGGATACTGGATACTCGATACTCGATACTCGATACTGGATACTGGATACTGGATACAGGATACAGGATACAGGATACAGGATACAGGATACAGGATACAGGATACAGGATACAGGATACAGGATACAGGATNGATACTGGATACTGGATACTGGATACTGGATACTGGATACAGGATACAGAACACTGGATAATGGAAAGACTTATTTTTATTCAAATCTTCAAAATTTTACCATCGTTTTTCAAACAACTCAATAAATGTTTTTTCGTCAGATGTTGTGCAAATGAGAGATAGAGGAATGGGCTTAGTCACATTTTCATTATTGATATTCTATATTTGTACAACTTTGGTTTGTATAAATAGTTGGAAGTGCATCGCGAATTGTATATTTGTGTTTAATCATCTTTAACTAAATATCTTTATTTAGATAGAACATTTATTGTAAAAGAAAGCGCTAAATAATTACAAATGAAAGATCATGGTTCTTGAGAATTTACAATAAAGATTGAATTACTTGAATATATAAACTTGGAGTTGTGTTAATATCATTAGTATTCAGACAGCAATAACCAAATATAGTTCTTAGTTCTCAGAGATACTAAGTAGATATGGTAAGTGTACTTTTCAAAATAACACCTTTTTGTACAGTGCCCCCCCCCCCCATAAAACTCTGGAATAGTAAAACGACATTTAATCAATATAATGTGTATTAACCCCAGACTAGTTATATTTAAAGACTGATAATCAGCTTTTACGGGCTGGGCTCGGTTGGCCTAAAGTCGTACCGGCATGACATGCTATAGTCGTACTGGCATGACATGCTATAGTCGTACTGGCATGACATGCTATAGTCGTTCCGGCATGACATGCTATAGTCGTACTGGCTTGACATGCTATAGTCGTACTGCCAGGACATGCTATAGTCGTACTGCCATGACATGCTATAGTCGTACTGGCATAACATGCTGTAGTCGTACTGGCATGACATGCAATTGATATATTATTACGAAAGGTTTTTGACTGCCATTTAACCACCACTTGAATTGCATATTTTAAGTTTTACAATTTTTATAGAAATACTCTAACTTTTAACATAAAACCTAAATTAATATTTTATTCAGGGTTATTTTGTTGTTTTATTTTGTTTGAGTATTCTAACCAGTCAGATGAATGCGGCCCCGGCTCCAGTGCCCGGATTATTAGGATTAAAAGGTAATATATTTTACAAAAATAGATAAATAAACGTAAAATAATCATCATTTTACTAAACGACATAAAATCACATAAAAAACTTTCCATGCTTAAGAAAAACTATTAATAACATTGTTATTTTGGTTCGCAGTGTTATAAAGTTTTTTGGACAGAAATTTTCTCTTTTTCGAGAAGGTTCAAGCCTTTTTAGATTTAATTTCGTTTTGAGCTTTAGCTTTTATTTATATTATTTTTAGCTATAGCAATTGCTCATGTGATCGATAATCTGAAAACGTTTAAAAGCGCTGCATTGGGAGCTGGCGGCGGATCTTTAGTAGGTCAGTTTAAACAATATATCCTGAACACTCACTTTTATTTTCTTTGATCATGAACGCTCCCTTTTCTACTCATAATCATTCATAAACACTCTTTTTTTCTTATTAATAAATTACAAGTTGGAAGGCCCGGCGTTGCCTGTGGAAAAACAAAAACAGATAAAAAATTTTGGAAAAAAAATTTGAATTTTTATTTCAAGGCTACCCATGAGTGTCCATAAAAAATTCACCGTATTCGGTCCAACCGTTTGGTCTTGTTTTATTATATAGATTATAAACACTCACTTAAATTTTGATAATAACAAATAATACTACTACTACTAATAATAATAATGTATAAAACCGGTTTTCCAATATTGGGGTTCATTGCGATACTCTCGCGGGCTCTGGACTATTATTAATTAGCGCACATTATCATTCTTTACACTATAACCTCGTTGGTTTATGTTAATATTTAGGTGGCTTGCTTGGTGGGGTGCTTGGTAGGGCCATAGGAGGACAAAATCAAAACCGAGGTGGACGTAGAGGTGGGCGCAGAGGATAGTGGGTCCTGCATACTGAATACTAGATATATACTGGAGAGAAATATTTGATTCAAATCTTTGAAATTTGAATATCGATGTTCAAACAAATAAATAAAAAAAATATTCAAAAATGATTGTTGTTCACATGTTTAAGCATGGAGACGATAATTTGTATCTTATTAACATGTTTACACTCACATATAGTATTGGGTCACATTTTGCCAAGTAACATTTTGCATAGTCACATTTTTCTTTAAAAAATATAGCTTTTGCAGATATATGTAAATATTGGCCTGTAACCAAAGCTGTAATTGCAAAGCGATTTTTTTAAACTTTCAGTTTTAAAAGAACATATTTTAATGCTCTTCAGACATTTTACTAGAATCTCCCTAGAAGGGGCTGATTCATTAGGTGTACTGACGCGATTCGACTCTATCTGGACTGTACATGGCTTAAAAGTCGGCCTGGTATTTGAGATGAATTTACAACGATTTAACACGATATGTTATGTTCATAAAGCTCCAGAACTAGATTTATGACCCCATTTCTTCTCTACCCTTGAAATCTTAAGTTTATGCATGAAATAACTTCCTGTTCTTCCTGTTTACTTCCTCTGTGTCCCGAAAACGTGAAATAATAACTTCCTGTTTTAACTTCCTGTTTACTTCCACTGTGTCCCAAAAACGTGAAATAATAACTTCCTGTTTACTTCCTCTGTGTCCCGAAAAAAAATCATCCTGAGCTGAAAGCTTTAGCATTGTGGGTATCGAGATCAATGCTTAATCTCCACTTTTTATTAATCTCAAGATAAATTTAATCTTCAGTTATTAACCTGGAATGTGTATAAAATTCAACCAATCAGAGTGTTGATTGCAGAAATCCAAAAGAAAGGATATAAGCATAAAATCATAAGTGTCGATAGTGGATACAGAGCTATTTAGAAATCAGGATTAAGTGTATCCAATACAAAAGTGTCGATAGTGGATATAGAGATTTAGAAATCAGGATTAAGTGTATCCAATACAAAAGTTTTCTGAAATTCGATCTTTACACAATATTAGAGATTTTTTGTTTTGCACTATGTTTTTTGAAACACACTCTTGCTTTGCATCCTTATTCCTGTTTTTATTTCAAATCATATTTCTTGAAATATGTTGAGAACAATATTTTGTTCTAAACATGTCTAAATATATAAAAATATGATTTGTGGAAAACATTGTCAGTTCTTTGTAGTAATACAACGCTAAACATTCAATATTAAAGGGATTGTTAGGGTAAATTTCATATTTTAAAGGGATTGTAAGCGTAATTTCAAATGACCCTTTATGCAAGGATGACATGGCCGTTTTAAAACGGTATAAACCCATTGAAACTTTAGTCTGATAAAGGATTTTAGGATTTCAGAAACTAATTTGTTGAGCAACATTTTTTATATTGGTTCTTGACACATTTCTGCACTTTTTGGTTGCGGTAAGTAATTTAAAGAGTTTTTGTAAGTAATATTTTTCAAATATAAAATTGGGATTAGTTTGGATTTGTCGGAATAAGCTTGAACCCCGCCATTGAAGAGTTATATTTTGCTTTAAAAAAAGATTAATACATAGTCTACAGTCCTTATTTCTCATATAAACCCCAGATTCTAAACTTATGATCAATCTTTTAATTCTTTACAAGATTACCCGGTACTAGATTTCTTGGACACAAAGTACAAACTCAAATTTTCTTTATGTCAATTGTAGCCTGATGAAGTAAATGTTTCAATCTGAGACTAGTTTGTGGCAAATAGATTATCAAGTACAATAGGTGGCAGCAGAGAAATGGACCAATTATACACGACGTCACAAGTGTCAAATATAACAAGGAAAACGAAATTTCCTCACATTATTATTAGACATATTTTCCAACATTAAATAAAAAAGTGTAAAAACTGAAAATAAATAACACATGAAACATGAAAATATGTACTTATTTTACTGTAAGATATTCTAAAATTATTACTTTTATTAATAATTTTGTATGACACAAAAATTGAATTGACACTTGTGACGTAAGAATACAGCTGTACTGAGAGTGTACAGTCCTCTCTAAAGTTTTATCCTGTATGGGTGGCCCTGTATCCTCCAGGATCCAAACCAAACCCTGTATCTTCCAGGATCCAAACCAAACCTGAATCTTCCAGGATCCAAACCAAACCTGTATCTTCCAGGATCCAAACCAAACCCTGTATCTTCCAGGATCCAAACCAAATAGAATAATATTTTAGCTTCAAGTCTTTTCTGCTGATTCTGGAATCTGGCTTGGAACAAAATGAAGGTATCCTGTATATAAAGTAGTAATCTCTGTTAGCTTGTCATGTCTATTAGTGTGTGTAATCATAACCGATATTCCTCAAATTTTAAATAGTAATTTCTTAATGTATGTTTTTTTGTTTATACGATCATAACTCATAAACCCCTTGACCAATATGCCTCAATGCATCTAAATATATAAAGTAAACTGTTTGTTTAGATGTCTGTTTTTCTTATGTCAGATCATAACTCATGAACCCCTCTACAGATTTGCCTCAAATTTGTTCTTAGCTTAGCTTAACAATTCTAAATTAAGAAATTGTGACTTCTTTAGGGAAAACTCCAGGCAGCACTGGGCTTCCAACCAAGTTTTTAATATGGTTCATATTTTGCTTTGGTTTTTATAAATTTAGATTCGATTTGCTTACGTTGACTATTAGATCATTTTTATACTATCTTTTATTTACCTTTATCGCAAATCTCGAATTGTTAATTGGAGTGTGAATTGTATTCTTTTTAACTTCGAAACGTGATAACAAAGATTAAAAGATAGAATCAGTTATTTAGCCTGGGACAGAGGAGAAGATAGTTCTCTACCTGTGTGCTCAGTTAGCTGTACTGTACACTTACAACTGTTTACTAATATTGACATACAGGGTGTCCCATATCATATTAGATCGTCAATGGGTCTAAATTACAATTTCTGGGACTAATCAGAAAATTTATGTAGGATAAATCATTTTGAAAAATTGGATAAGGCTAATATAAAAATTTTCATGCTGGAAATGCTATGTTTTTCGATTATTATATGTTTATTTTGAAGTTAAAGATTGGAGATAATCTAATATGATAGGGGACGCTCTGTACTATAGGTTAGGCCAGAATCATCTTATAATAAACAAATATGCAGTACACTCTCGGTATATTTCATGGCCTGTACAATTAGTAAATGATTAGCATACATCATCACTCTATACACTATAACCTCGTTGGCCTGGGCCCGCCTAACCATGGTGGGTTGTTCTGGTTGGCCCGGATTCATTTGAGACCTATTTTTTTTCTTCTAGATTTCGTTAATTTTGTTTGTTTTGCTGATAAACTTACTTCTCGTAATAGCTGCTCCTACACCCCAGATTCCAAACTGTAAGTACAGTGAGAACCAGAAAACAATGGAATAGGAAGACGACATTATAGGAATACTTGATGTTACAAATAGTTTTACTATAGACACTTTTTTAATCACTAATATAGTGCAATGGGTCTGTTTACACTGGACAATTGTTGTGTCTCATGCTCATTGCACTTTTTAAAGTTATAACTTGATTTTAAAAGTCGTCTTCTCATTTCAGAGTTTTTAATTTTGGAAAAATTATGAAAATAACGATAGTGTATACAATGAATTATGGAATAACTATAGAAGAAAAATGATATTTAAACAAACATTTGATGTTGTTGTTAACAGCAGCTTGAACAAATTTGATGTTGTTGTTAACAGCAGCTTGAACAAATTTGATGTTGTTAACGGCAGCTTGAACAAATTTATTTATTTTGTGACAGATCTTCATGGACTTAACAATTGCTGCGTTCAATGCTTAGCGGACTAATTATAGCCCTTTAACTTGTGTCTAACATTTGCACAATGTATGGGGGTACAACAAAATTTCAAGAAATATAAAACATGTTAAAACCCAAACTTGATACAGGATTGATCACAAAGACTGAGAATGAAGCACTAACAGTCAAATAATTTATTTGACAAAAAAAAACAATTAATTGCATGGAATATTTTATGTACAGCCATATTTTTTGTCCTCAAAGATTTTGTTTAAATTTCAATTTTTGAAATAAATTCATATCTCTGGAAATTATGAAAGCATTTCGGACAGTTGACTCTGAACTCTCGTTCTTTATGTTTAACACTGTATATTTCTGAACATTTTTGGTGACAAATTTCAAAAATGACAGATATACAGCGCTACCCACAAAATATGAGACTATAAAGACGACCTAAAACTCTTAAATTATGACGATTTCAACGACAAATCAAGTTTACTGCCATAAATAAATAAATTTATGGTCTGTTTAAGAATTTGACAAAGAAAGAAACAAGTTTACAGCTGCATAGAGTTATGAATGTAAGGAAACAGACAAAATAAATTTCGTACAATCGTCTCTGAAGTCTTGTCCTTAGTAAACAACAAAATATTTTTCTTTATTAATTGATCTGTAGATGTTAACATTAATATTATCATATTTTTATATTATAAGGTAATATTAACAATAAGAGATAATTTTTTTTTTTTAGTTATTAATATTGGGAATTTAATGATTCCAACAGTTGCGATTGGAGCAGCATTGGGAGCTACAGGACTTATTCTTGGAGCCAAGGGAGCAGCACTTACTCTTTCTTCAGGTTATTTTTAAAGGGACTGTAAGCGAAATTTGAAGAGACCCTCCATAAAAAATTGGCAATGTCCGATTCACAACCGTACCTTGTAAAGCTTGGATGATGAAGAACAAATTATGAAGAAATTTTAGAATTCTAAAAACTGATTATTTTTGGTTGTTGTTTTTAATTCTACCGGGGGAAGAAAATACAGTAATTATCTGAATTCAACCCTTGTAAACCTAGAAACGACAATATCTTCCTCATTTTTGATCAGAGAAAGGTTTCAAGGGTACCGTTGTGAATTGGGCATTGTTATCTTTGCATGTAGGGTCACTTGAAATTTAAAATAATCATATAAATCGTAGAAGAAGGTCGCTAAACCTTTTCTCTTTTGTTTGGCCAGAATAAGAGTAAAAATGTAAAATTTTATAATTTAAATTCCTTTTTTATAAAATTTGCGATTTTTTTACTCTCTTATCTCTGTGTTCTGTAATTTTTAGCTTTTAAGATACAACAATTATTGCTAATTAGAAGAAAAAAATCTCCGTTATTGAATAATCAGCGGTAAAGTTTGAACTTTAGATATTCAGACAGTTTTGTAAAGTGATTCTCTTTCTTAGTTCTTAGTTCTGTACAACAATTACACTAGTGTACACATTACACAAGGTTGTATAATAAGTTAGGTTACTCTCTGTGCACTCCACTCCAATGTACGGAAAATGTCATCTCCTAAGATAAAATCCTCATATGACGTCATATGAGGTTTTAATCTATCTATCTTTTTCCGACATTTTGCTTACATTGGAGCACATCGAGAGTAACCATAGATAAATAAATAAACATAGAAAGCTTATGTACGCAAAATCACCAAGAATTGTACAGTCCGCGAACTCATACTCCTAGGGGTCAAAGTGTACTTCAATGATAAGCGGGGTGGTTTGGTGTTTTAATGGATTTCATAATAGAGTGTAAAATAACTCCGGGAATGGAACTATTTGAACAACAATATTTCACTGAGCAATATATCATATTGACGAGAACTGAAGAAGGACATAAGAAGGACTAAACTAACTTAAATTTCTCTCTACAGAACTCATGTACACCACAAGTACTCAATGACATAAGAACAGCTAATGTTCACAACCGACCTAGTTAATCTATATAGTAGGAATATCTTTAAAACATCTCTGTACATTTATATCTTTCAAGATGAAAAATGTCGTCTTATGCGCAATCTATCTTTATCTATGAGAGTAACCCAGCTCGTTACTTATACAACCTTGAGTGTACAGTGATAAACAGAAAACTCTGAAATAGAAAGACGACTTTATAGCAATATTTATGTCTATTTGATTTTGTTACAAAGTAAAATAGTTTTATTATGAACTTATCAAATCACTAATTAAGTAAAAAGGGTCTTTTTACACCGCACAGTTGTTGTGTACTATACTTATTGGACTATGTAAAGTCATAACTTTAGTTTAAAACTTCTTACTAAATAAGTCTTATTCAAACAGTTTTATAAAATTATGATTTTTTATTCAGGAATTCTACCAGACCATTTCGATCATGAATCCCGAACGGTGCCGATCACCAACCTCGAATACGGGAAAATTATTTATGTAGATCCACAACAGTACACCCAGGGACATCAGCAGAACTATGACCAGTTTGAGAGTTATGACCAGATTTTTGGCCCTAATGAACTTGAAAGCTATGGCCACAAAGAGTACGAGCATTATGGCCAAGACAACTATGAAAGCAATGGCTACGTGGATTATGAGAATTATTTTCAAGAGCAGAATGTTGGTTATGCTTAGGCACATCTTTCAATTCGTTAAACGTAGTTATCAAAATTGTAAATGAAATTATTACATGTATACATCCAAAGAGAATAGAATATATATCAGAGTGGAATTTAATAGAAAAAAGTGTAAAGCGGCCATTTTGTTGTACTGTTTCCATACTGTAGGTGTACTTCACATATTTGTCCTATATAACCTTTTAAGCCCTGGAACATCATTTTATAGAAAATCTAAAATTAATAATAAAAGAAAATCCACTTAAGAAATAGGCTGGTTTCATAATTGACCAATGATTATTTCACATAGACTCTATGCCTTCCACTTTACAAACGATGATTTTCCGTTATAACTATAAATCAAATGATGTTTTTTATTCACCTAATTCATTTTATAAAGTTTATTTAACTTTAACAGCTTTAAAAAATTCGAAATTGAAATGGATAGTCTAGGGAACATACTGTATTAATGTACTCTACTGCAGATAATTTGTGAACATTTACATGATTTGTACACTTTGAACTCCCTTTCAATTCAGGCTGAAAGGGACTGACAAAATTCATACTGAGGGATTTTCTAAATTCCACTCTAATATATATTCTATTCTCTTAGTATACATCATATCTGGCGCAGTAAGTGGTGCAGTGCCAGTACGCTTTGTATGGGTTAATTACAAAAGATGAAACTTCAGAGACGACATACCGGATTCATATATTTCCTAATTGGTTCTTTTTTTCTGAAAAATCATTGCGAAAAAATGCAAAAATTTCGCAAAAATATTTTTGAATTCTCAAAATTTTGTCTTTTTTGAGGAATTTTCGTAAAAATTTTTGCATTTTTATTTTAAATTCCGTCTTTTTCGCGCAATATTTGCGTTATTTTGTGTGCATTTTTTCGCGAAACAGATTGGCATCCATACCCGAATACCTAAGTTCACAAACACAACCAAATATTGTACGCTCCGCAGCTAGGAACAGAAGCTTAAATTTCTGTACTGCATTGCTCTGTTAACCGTACTGCATTGTTTTATTTGTAACAGGATAGTTTTGTAAAATAAATTTTTGATTACTGAATTCTTATATTTTATAAAAAGGAGATAATGTACAATGTACATGGATTAAAAGGAAAAAGTAGAAAAATAAGGGTTTAGGACGAAAAACAACAAATTGAAAAACGGGATAAGCAAACTGAGAAAAGAAAAAAAGTTGAATTCGCATGAATTATAGATTGAAGTAAAAATAAATACACGGGAAAAAAACGAGAAAAAGATAGAGAAGCGAAGGAGGTGTGTGGGGGGGGGGGTTAAAAGGGAGAAGGGAAGGAAGGGATACAGGGGGAAGAGGGGGGGGAAAAAACGAGAAAAAGAGAGAAGAGGAGAAAGCAGATTGCAGGAAAAATAACATGAAAGGAAGATAAAAGAAAAAGGAGAAGTAGAGAGAAATATAAAATATTGTTACACAAAAATGTGATGTCCTGGACTAGCTGCAGATTTTTAAAGAATTAAGTAAATTTGTAATTTTCTGTGAGAAAAGTTTATGCAAATCCATCTAGAGAACGAGTATAAATGTACTTCTAAAAAAAACATGAAATAGCTAAAGATAGAATTTTTTAAATCTAAATAATATACTAGCAATCCATAATTCTTAAGAATTAAATATCTAAAGCTACGATTTGGAAAAAGAATTGAGTCTTTGTCACAAAAGAATATTTTATAATCCCTATATTTTTGCAACCTGGTGGTGTAAATTTTATTATGTTTTAAATTGATATTTTTGATCTAACATAATGCAGTAAAAAATCAGATTTTAGAACAAAGACTCAATTCCTTTTGTTAAAACTTTGTACATATAAAGGTTTTCAAGTGATCACATCGAAATCAAAATATAAAATTCAAGACAAAAAGTGAATATATTAATTTTTAAGTTTATGAATTTTACATATTGTGAGATTTATGAAGGAAGAACTGTTAAATCAAATAAACTTTAGCTTAATAATGAGTACACATCACAGCTGAAAATGGACCATCAGGTTTCAAGTCAAAACACCTTAACTTTTTCTTTAAATTATGTTTATATGCTGGCTACTGAGTTATATTATCAATTTTCAAAAAATGCCACCTAGGGAATTTTGAGCAAATCAATTTTTAAGAAAATGTAGAAATCAAGAATTCACAGGTCTTAAATTAAACAAAAATTTCATTTCAAGACTTTGATCTGCATCTTCTGGGTTTTTTACGATATTTTTTTAACATGGTCTCCAAATTTTTTATTTTTCTTTAACAGTTTTGAAACTTTTTGTAGCAAAAAATCAAACCCCTAAGTCAACTGCCTGACTGTCAAAATGCGACCCGAAAAAGTTTTTTTGATGTAATTTTTACTGATTTTACTTCAAAAAGTCTTTTTCAGGCAGTAATTGGGCAATTATACAGTTCACTTAATAAGGCTTTGATTTTTTTTGCTAAAACATGTCTTATGGGACCCTGCCATCAACGGTTCTAAAAATATCACAAAAAACACAGAATAATCTTGATTAATCTTTGAACCTACAGTTACGATTGAGTTCAGACTTAAAATGCACTTGATTTTTACAATTTCTTTAAAATGAATTTAATTAAAATTAAAAAGGTGGCATTTTCTGAAAATTTAGATTATAACTCAGAACCCCATGCATATTAATATATTCCGAAAAATAAAATTAGGTGTTTTGACTTTAATCCTGATGGTTCATTTTTGTTGAAATGGATATTCTAGAGAACATACTGTATTAATGTACTCTACTGCATATAATTTGTGAACATTTACATGATTTGTACACTTTGAACTCCCTTTCAGGCTAAAAGGGACTGAAAAAACTCATACCGAGAGATTCTCTAAATTCCCCTCTAATATATATTCTATTCTCTATGGTATTGACTGTGTCAGTTTTGCAATCGTTACTTTTCTTTTACAATTGATTATAAAGAAATATTACAACAGAGACACTAGAATATTATTGAGATTCAGATCTTCTAGATATTGGTTTATTTCATTTCAGTCTTTTAAACGATGGTTAAAGAAACTGTAGACGTTATTTCCATTGATTCTTATTTATAAAGTGGAATGTCCGATTTACAACGAAACCATTTTTAAACCTCTACCTCTATACAAAATATGAAAATAGTGATTATTTCTCCCTTCGCAGATAGTGTTAAATTCTATTAATTTCTGTCATTGTCTCTTCCGCAAAAACTCTGCGAGTAACTTTAATAGAGAGACAACAATTAAAAAGTATTATTTTTCAGATATGTAATAAACGAAGTATCATTCATCCTTAAAGGGAATGTAAAGGAAAAATGAAAGTGGGTATACACTGAAAGCACTTTAGCTCTTGATCGCGACCCATGAAAGTTATGATCTGTCTCGAGAAATTGATAAAGAGCTAAACTTTCAGCTAAACTAAATTAACTTTCAGCCTATACCCCCTTTCATTTTTCCTGTACAGTCCCTTTAATCAAACAAAAGTTTAAAGGGTACCTTTGTGAAGCGGACATGTCACTCTGTAAATTGAGGTTTATTTAAAATTACGTCTAAACTCCCTTTAATTTTTTTAAAAATTTGTTTAATTAGTTCATATGTCACGCTGATCTACATTTGTTGCATAACGTGCTGCATGGGTCGACTCTACACTGGGTAGTTCAGACTGGACGGTACGACTGAATGCATATACAGTACATGTTGTACCGGCACGGATCATTCAATTTTAAGACTGGGGTTATTATTATTTAAAGCTGCGCTTTCTATTTGTTAATAATGAACGCAGTTAAGTCACATCTAGGGTTGGTAATCGTTTTTGAAAACGATCGTTTAACGATCGTTTTTTGCTTCGTTAAACGATCATTTTTAAAAAACGATCGTTTCGTTTTCTCAAAAAAACGATCGTTTTTAAAACAACCCACTCGTTTTGAACTGTTAGAAAACGAAGAACAATCGTTTTTGAAAACGATCATTTTCAAACGATCGTTAACAAAACGACGAACTTTATAAAAACGATCGTTTTGAAAAACGATCGTTTTTTTAAACGATCGTTTTTTATAACGATCGTTTAAAAAACGACAGTTTTTAAAAAACGAACTTTTTAAAAAAAACGATCGTTTTTAAAAACGATCGTTTCGTTTTTCGATTTTGCTCGACGTTTTCTTAACGAAACTATCGTTTTTTTCAAAAATCAAAACGTTACCAACCCTAGTCACATCTATGTGTTAATCTTATTTTTTGAAAGGGTTGAAGAAATGAGGAACTCGGGAGCATGGTAAGTGCAGAAATGTCTAATTTCAGTTCCCTGGGTTTTCCAAATACAACCAGAAAATCTAATATAGGAAGACGAGTGTATTTGATGTGCTGTTACAAACCAAATAGTTTTAATAGAAACTAATTAAATCGCTAATTAAGTGAAATGGGTCTGTGTACACTACACAATTGCTGTGTCCTCTGCTCATTCAACTATTTTAAGCCATACTTGAATCTGAAAGTCGATTTCCTATTTCAGAGTTTTCTCGTTATCACTGTATGTTCTCTAATTTTCTTTGTCTAGAATTTTTTTCCAGTTTAAGGAGCTGAGTACTCGAATGGAAGTTGAAAAATTGAGACCGGGCATTTAGATTCATATTCAACACAACTTCTGTTACTTCGACCAGTCCTCTGTGCTCGACTATACTTTGTAGCAGATCTTTCTATTTCTTCCCTGGTAAAATATAGATAAATTATATATAGTAGCAGAGTATTTAGATAGAATATACAATGGAAGGTTGGAGGAGGGAGAGGAAATCAACCTTTTCAGGTTCGCCTTTTTCAAACTTCAAACAAAAGAAATCATTCTCATTTCTCTTAATAAACCTCTTCACGAACAATTCATGACATCGTAAAGGAATTGAGTCTCTGGCACAAACTCTGATTTTTTAATCCCAATATCTCTGCAACTCGTTGTCGTACAACCTAGATATTTCAAACTTAAAATATTTGATCCAACAAGTTTCATAGTTTGAAATATTTAGGGTCAATGATATTGGTTTGGACAGATATAAGGATTAGAAAATCAGATTTGTGGCAAAGACTCAATTTCAATTTGGTAGTTACAATTTTTAT